GTGGAGCTATGGAGCAGCTGGAGACTCTAGACCCAGAGAGTGAGAGCGACTGTGTGCTGAAGACCTGGGGGGCACGGGGGAAGGATTGAATGGAGGGCATTGTAACCATGGCAATGAGACGATATACGATAGGATGAATGTAAAACTAATGTTCTCCCATATAAACTATCACATAATTCACAATAAATCATTTAAGGGGAAAAAAAAAAAAAAGTTCCTGTGCAGCAGATTTGCACAATGCAATACGTCGTCTGATCTCTTGACTGCTATTTCCACGAAAGTTGATAGTTGATCCAAGAAGAATGAAGTCCTTGACAACTTCAATCTTTTCTCTGTTGATAAGAATGCTGTTTATTGGTCCAGTGGTGAGGAGTTTTATTTTCTTGACATTGAGATGCAATCCATACCAAAAGCTGTGTTCCTTGATCATCATCAGTAAATGTTTCAAGTCCTCTTCACTTTCAGCAAGCAAGGTTGCATCATCTGCATATCGCAGGTTGTTAATGAGTCTTCCAACAATCCTGACGCCACGTTTTTCTTCATAGAACCCAGCTTCTTGTATTATTTGCTCAGCATACTGGTTGAATAAGTATGGTGAAAGAATGCAACCTTGTTGCACACCTTTCCCAATTTTAAAACATTCAGTGTTCCCATGCTCTGTTCGAACAACTGCTTCTTGGTCCAGATACAGATTTCTCAGAAGTACAATTAAGTGTTCTGGAATACTCATACTTCTCAATGTTGTCCATAGCTTGTCATGATCCTCACAATTGAAAGCCTTCGCATAGTCAATAAAGCATAGGTAAATATCTTTCTGATATTCTCTGCTTTCATCCAAGATCCATCGGACATCAGCAATGATATCTCTCATTCCACGGCCTCTTCTGAATCCAGCTTGAACATCTGGAAGTGCTCTGTCAATGTATGATTGTAGCCGTTTCTGTATTACCTTTAGCAAAACCTTACTCTCTTGAGATAGAAAAGATATTGTCCAATGATTTACACATTCCATTGGGTCACCTCTCTTTGGAATGGGCACAAATATGGATCTCTTCGAATCAGTCAGCCAGATAGTAGTCTTCCAAATTTCTTGGTAGAGATGAGTGAGTGCCTCTTGTGCCGCCACACTTTCTTGAAAGATTTCAATTTTTATTCCATCAATTCCTGTTGCCTTGTTCTTTGCCAATTCCTTCAATGCACTTTGGACTTCCTCCCAGAGTATCATTGGCTCTTGTTCATATGGTACCTCTTAAAATGGTTGAACATTAACCATTTCCTTTTGGTATAATGACTCTGTGTATTCCTTCCATCTTTTGTTGGTGCATTCTGCATCATTCAATAATTTGCCCAGAGAATCTTTCAATAACTAAAGTTGAGGCTTGAATTTTTTCTTCAGTTCCCCCAGCTTGAGAAATGCTGACCATGTTCCTCCTTTTTGGTTTTCTAATTCCAAATCTTTGCATATTTT